TGAGTCAGCATTTGCATACCATACATACTAAGGCATCTTGGCCTCAAAGCCAAGCTATAAGACCTACCTTCTAAATAAAAACAACCCTACCACTCTACATTTGCATTGAGACCGGACGACATGGTTTTAAAAGCGATTAGGAGGGTTAGCTGGTAGTCTCTTCCAGGCGGGACAATAAATCCAGAAGTCGGGCGGGTTATGCCTCTTGTGAGGTGTAGCTTGTAAGTCCCTCTTTGCACTCGTTAGATTTAGGTTCAAGACACTACCTGTCGGTAGTCCTCACCTTAGTCTTAGGGTTCGAGGTATGGGCTGATTCCAAATCACCCTATAAACCCTCAACTTTCAGGCAATTCCTACAACATGTGTTGTTGGGATGTAAGCCCCAACATTTTAATAAAAAAATATCAACTTAAACCAAAATTAGGTTGCTAAAATGTAAAGCCCAACATAGGATAGTTTGGGCACCTCTGAGTATCCTCTCAGAATCAAGTGCCCCTACTTCATCTCCTTTGGCTTTCATTCCCCAAAATCTAATCCTTAGTTGATCAACCTTCTCCTTGAAATTCTAAAGGGCCAAAAACCTTTAATTAAGACTTTCATGGACTTAAAAAAAAAAAAGCAAACTTTAGCCAATGTCTAAAATGACTTCCAATAAAGAAAACCACTAGTTTAATCAAAAGTTTTCTCAAATCAAACTTGGGATGTAATTAACTATAGGGGCTTGCCCCTATGGGATGTCTGTACCCCAGAAATAAATAAACCCCACTCAACCAAACATTGAGTGGGGGAATCTCTGTTAAATAATTGTAAATTTTATTGTTGAGTCCATAAGGAAATGATATTTTTATCCTTCGGAGTAATATATCATCATTCTTATGCCGTGCTCGATAATAAAATATGCAATCCGTTCGAGGATACAAAAATTCTCCAACATTGATACTGTACGACATGCATATAACAGATGTAGAATACTTGTTTGATATAATAGATATAATGATGTACATGAAACAAAATATAGACTATCTTATAACTGATAGATATATGAAATGACAACGTTCACTGTATTTAATAGATTTTCACATGCTATTTACAACTAAATGTGATATATTGCTACCCATCCATTCCTAAACATTCTTAAAGACTTGGAATTTGATTGGGCGATATATCCTATATGTCATTTCCTACACCTTCCAAATTATGCAATATAAAATGTAGTAGGTTGAGACAAGAATTTTTGGATCCCACAATATGGCAATAAAATATAGTACTTAATGGTCTACAGAAAATATTAAAGATTGATTATATGCTAAATTGTTTCAGGTTTTACATTCACAAATATGACTATATACACATGTACGGTTTTGTGTTTAGTGGAAGTTTACGGTTTATTGGTACTTTTAAGAAATTGGAAGATTTATTTTCGAAAATTTGGACTTAATAATTATGAAAGTTCTACAGAATGAATATTGAGCTCAAACTTTCTGTCACAACCATATATTCCTGCATTGGTTCAACAAAACTCTCGAGCCAGGACATGAAAAAAAAATTATTTTCTCTAGATAGAACACTAGTAAACTAGAATTTCGACTTTCTCCAAGGGTAGGTTAGTTAACCACGACATATAGATAAATGATAAAAAAGCAATGTTGCTCGTTGGAAGCTATAAGAGACCCCCAAAAAAATCAATAATAACGCTACAACAAATCCAAGAATTAGATATCGTCATACCAAGCGGCTATTGGCTGCAGATAGGTAGTTTTGCAATTCTGAGTCAATCACTCTAACCAAAGAATATGCACCAAGCATGGCTTTCTTTTCTATTTGACATGCTATTTTCAGGAAACGGTGTCTAGCAAGTTGATTAACCAGATGATTAATGTACTGCACAGAAAGATTCATCTGGTTAGTTGTAGAATTGCCATATCTCCAACTGATGCGATCATTTTTATAGTTCGAAAAAAATTTCAACTGTTCTTGGCTGTAAACTTCGGAAAGCTCACACACACGCATAAGGTATTATATCATTCAGGTGGAATAGTTCAAATAAAATTGGTGGTTAACCGCTTGCTTACATACAATTATGAAAGTCCCTGCATAAGACAAATCCTGTCTAAACTTGAGACTAACTGAGCAAAAAAGAAAAGATCACTATGTAAAATTAATGCGGAGGATATGGAAGAAAAATGACTAAATTAAAAATGATATGGATAAAAGTTGTGCAAAGATTTGTATAAATAAATTTAACACATCATGCACACACAAAGATGAATGAGAAAGAGAATTACATGGGGAAACAATCTTTGAGATAAGGCTAAATATCATCATCATCATCATGACTAGTCTACATCAGTGTATTAGTAGTTTCTTGTTTGAATGCGCAAAGTATTATTTAATCTATGCATGGAAAGCACGAACTGGCATATGCGGGAAAAGGTAACTACTCTAAAAAAATTTTAAAATATAAAAAAACCTGAATGAAACCTCAACATTTTCTTCTTTTCAGCCCAATAAGTCATACAAGTTTTGTTCATGCAACTCACTATGTACCAGAATCTTTCTATCAGTTAACAAGCATGCAACTCACCAATACAATTGACAGCAAAAATGCCAAGCCACACATCAAAAAGAGATTTTCGTTACATTGTTGGAACAAAATGAGATCGAAAACCTTAACTAATTTCATGTAGTCTAGTTACGCTTAGTTAGGCTAAATATCACATGAATGAAAGTGGTTTCTCTTAAAAGTCGGTAACAGAGATGCATTTGAGCTAAAGCTAATTCAGATAGTAGAAAATTATGCCATTTATATGCTTGTCAAAGTAAATAGCCGTGTACCAACAAAGCCTTCCTGAGATGTTGAAGTATGTGAGCTATTTATACAGATCTAAATCATAGGATATGAAGAGACAAAAAATCCTAACCTCGGTAAAACAAATCAAAGGTACATCTTCAGGCAGTGCATGTTTACTAGAAGTTATCAGCATCACCATTATCAATCAAAATCACAATTATTAGCCTAATCTGTAATGCCCGGTTTAAATTAGCCGGTTCAATTGAACCAACCAGCCCTAAATTATAACTTGCACGACCAGGGCGGACGAAGCCGCGATTTAGACGTGACTCGAGCGGCCACCCCGAGCATAGAAACGCCTCCTAGATGGATCATTTGCTGTTTAAAGTGGATAATCACATACGACGGAGAAAATTAACGACTCTTCACATGAGATATCTTATGTTCGCTCATAATCACTCACATGTCGAAGGGAAACGACAGAGGAAGAAGAATGTGAATAAAAAAGATTTGATTCGTGGTTCTTTTCTTCCTATAAAATTATTTTGTAGAATTTTTATCTGAGCTGTAGAGAATATCTTCTGTAAAGGTCAAGGGAAGAAAATGTAAAGGAGAAAGCGGAAGCATTTGAATTTGGAAAGTTTCTTCACAAGAAAGTGTAAGTAAATTCCCTTTCTTATTCTTTTATTTTCTGTTCAAACTGAGAGAAATTGAGAGAGAAAATTTTATAATTCTCTTAATTGAAGAGACATTATTGTTGTAGGAAGAATTGAATTACAACAAGCTTAAATTCGACAATCAAAGAAGGAGATTTGTAAAGAAGGAAGGGAAATCTTGATGAGGTAATTAGTTCGATATAATAAAATTTTTGGGATGAATTAGAGCCATTTAATGTTATGATTAATGATGTTCAATTAGGTAAAAATTTCCTCTAGAAATGTTTGAAATAATATATGTTATCGTAAGGAAAGTAGAAGTACTTGATATTACTTTAAAGATATAATTGATTAGTCCAAGTTGAAATTTTATATTAATTAAGATCTCATTCATGTTATTTGAACAGTGGAAGATCTTCATAATTGTTGAAATAAGTGTTAAAAAATCCATAACAAAGCTTGAGGATTCGAAGGAATCTGATCATTCAAAATATTCAAAGCTGGTAATTACAATTCTGTATAGAAATTTCAATTCTAAAAGAAATGTCTTATATAATTGTTTATTTATATTGAATGTCATTAAATGAAAATTGATGTTCATTTATATGTACAAGTGAATGATAAATATTTGGCTTTAAATTATTATGACAATAAGGATGTTTATTAATTATCATGTTAATATGAATATCTAAAATATAAGTAATGGAAAGAGGAAGTGGATTTGGACATGTATATGTTTGAAAATGTATATATGATGTAAAATATATAAAGATATATGAAAAATTCATAATATGTAAATGAAAGCATAAATGAAAAGGGAGAAAGGTATATGCATGCAAATTACAAGAGTTCACCCCCATATGATACTTGCTAGGGAAGTAATGTACCCGTGCACATTAAAAAGAAATAAAAATGATTGTATCTTTATTGGTACATTTAGATGGTACTCATGTACTAATTGAAATGAAAAATGAATAAATGTCAAATACTATGAAATGTATATGAAATATATAAGAAATAAATAAATAAAATAGAAAATGATATGAAATGTATATGTATACTAAATGATATAAGAATATACATATATCAAGTGTTATATAAGTTTTAATATTATATAAGAAATGAGAACAAGAACGTGCATTGCATCTTATATATGTTTGAAGGTTATTTTAGCAATGGTAATTATACATTGAGTTTACCATGTAAACTCAACCCATTAAACTAATATTTTCAAGTAAATCTCCAGAGAAATAGAAATGACTGAAAGGGATGAGTATGTCTATAGAAGACGACGCGCAAATGAAAACAGGTAATATATGAATAATATAAATATTTAGATTGAAAAATGGTATCAATAGTTTTATGGTAATTCTGTGATAGTGGCTCTTTAGTTTTATTTGAGAAGTTGAATATAAATTATTTATGAAATTGAATGAAATGTTACTCCCATTCGACTTTTCATTCCTGCCTCGTTATTCGAGTATCCGGGCTGGGTCGTGGTAAAAACCACAATGATTTGGGGATGGCTCTACTAATACTCCACCTCCTTTTTCTTACTAAGTACTACACCAGGTGTTTAACACAAATTTGACACTTTGTTACATGGCATCTAGATCTTTGATCTATCAATTTTCCTTTCTAATAATTTCAATTAATTATATAAAACTTCCTTGGAAGGGCATCAGTTGCCTTTTATTGTGAATGTTTAAACCAACTAAATCTCTTTTACACTAACATAACTTTGATGGATGGTAAACTCTCTAATATAATTATTTATCACTCAATCCTTCTAATCTCATCACACATTTATTTTAACAATTTCCTTTTTGCAATACTTAACTTGACTATCAATAACTTTTTTAATGGCCCAAATTCGGATTCATATGATATAGCCACCATAATTACAATTATATAATATTAATCTTTTAAGTCTACGATATTCACTTATCTCATAGTTGTTTCTAAGACAATCCAATTTAAGCACCAAATTTTAAATTTAGAAGATGTCATAACTCATAACATATATCTAAATCACTTTGCACTATAAATCCGATGGAAATATATGAAACTCATGTACCAACAGAACTTCTAGTAAAATTAACTGAATACTATCAATTTCATGTCTCTAAATATATATATATATATATATATATATCTATCTCTATGTTTTTGTTTCTCTATTCTTGACCCTAGTAGTATCAACCTCTCCGTTTTAGTTCCACTAAACTTGACCCTAGTAGTTTCTAAAAACTTCCCTCAGTTGTGTTACCACTAAAAATGTTATAGATTCAAGTAGATTAAACAAGAACACAAGCATAAAAAATTTAAAATAATAATAGAAAGCAAGATAAAACTAAGCTAGAGTATACTTCAACAACTAGGCATGCTGACTGCACAATGAACAGGCATTAAACAACATTTTCTATAATCTATGACGCAGTTTACATTGAAATTTTGTTTTTTCAGTTAGAGCATTGGTCAAATTACTGAAGAAATAGATTGAAAGTTCAAAACACAAAACTGCCATTTGAAGTTTAATACTTAGTCTGGACCATCAGTCCATTGTTTAATATATATCTGAGATATTGGATGCCACTAAATTTTTCAATATTTTAAAAATAGCTTCCATCAAGCATAGAAAAGTTTCCACATGACACTTGCATGTTAAGGCTACATAGAATCTATATAAGTCATTAAAACATTTAATTAAGTGGAACAGACTCTGTAACAATAAACCAAAAAATATCCAAGACTTATCTAGAACAATAATTGTAATAATTAAGAAGGAAAGCACACCATTTTCTGCCGATTTATGTAGCACTCTTGTCGCATTACTTTTAAATCATAATCCCCTGTAAGCACAAAAAGGAAACACGTCAGGCTAGAGAACTTAAATTAGCATAAAAGATCAATTTAATTTGAATATTTGATAAAATCAACACACCCTGTAAAATGTAAGTATCTTGAAGTTGAGCAAGCTCTGAACATAGACGGGGAATAGTCTGCAAAAGAAATAACATAAATGTAAAAGAGTTGAAGTCCGAGCCTAATATTAACCAAATCAATGCAAATACACATTGTAATAGTTTATTCGATCATCTTTTTTAAAGATTCATTACAGCGTACCAGTTCTTGTCAAAGAAACTACAAAAAAAAAAATCTCCAAGAACTAGATGAGGAGACAAGCTATGCGCTGAACTAAATAAAACCTACCATAATTCTAACAATATACTAATCTCACAAGTCTGGTTCAACACATCTTTCCTTGACCAAACATGATCATAATTAGTAATTTATTCACAGCTCTTGCAGCACTCCCAAATGCAAATCCATAAATAGAGCAAGGGAAGCAGCTCTAGATTGAAGGGGCGCCAAAAATCAACTCCTTCGCCGCAATAAAATTTTGAGATGTATGAAGTATTAGGGTACTTGGTCAAATGTAGCATTCTTTGAAGGGTATTATCTAATGTAAGATTTGTTGTTTACAATATCCAAGTTCAAGAAAATGCATTTAGGTTGATGGATCAAGGTCCAAAAGGTAAATATTTTCAAATAGTTAGTTACGTGTGCCACGGAATTTCGTGATAAGGGTGACCTGCAGTCAGATTGAATCATGGAATCCTAAGCAGGCAAAGAAGTATTATGGGTTAACAGAATCCTAAGTGAGACAACATTTAGGCATGGGTGTACACTAGTTGGTGTTGGAATTGAATCAAGTAAAAATTTAGGTTGTGTTGTTTATTTTTCTTTAACTTTTTATTTCTTCCCTATTGTTTAACTTTCATTGATTTATCTTGACACATGCATTGTGTTTTATCACTCTCTATAAATCCCAGGTCTTATATATAGACCCCACTCAAGAAAAATAAATTAAGAAATAAATATATCGAATAATAAAAGAAATCAAATAAAATATCAAATACATGGCTTTTATTTAAGCCGGACATCAAACATAGTGTAAAAAAAGTAGAATATATCTATGTAAACATCAAGCGGTGGCAATGAAGGAGCAATGTTTAAAATTGCGTATTCGGGTATTGAGGCGTTTTTCATTCGTGAGGCGAGGCGTAAGCCTCAAGGCGTTTTGAGGCGTAAGCCTCAAAATAAAAAGATTGCGTGAATATAAAATAATAAATATTTTATATACTAATGAGTGAATAATATAAAACATAAAAAGCATAAGATATGAAGTGAAATCAAAATATCCCAATAATAAGACAACATGAAATATAGTTCAACTCAAAATTCTATCTTTCCCAAATCCCAGTATTATTTTCATTAACATATAATTCCAATTTTCAAACATAAATAGCAATGACATATCACATAAGAACTCATAAGTCATCAGCACTATCATCACTAAGGGGTTCTTCATTTGAATCATCATTATGATGAACGGCTCTCCCCTTCCTCCTCTCCTATAGAGTCCAATGTCGGACATTTACTTCAAGATTTATGCAAGTTTTAATATATATAGCGTGAGGCATAAGCCTCATGCCAGTGAGACCAAGTTGAGGCGCAAGCCTCATAAAAAAATTCGAGGCATAAGCATCGAGGCATTTTTTACTGAAATTGGGGAAAGGCGGGCCTCAAGGCGAGCCTCATATTGCGCAATTTTAAACCATGTGAAGGAGGATTAAAAAATAATTGATAATTAATATCTACGGATATCTTTCAACACTCCTGCTCAAGCTAGCATAAAAATGCCACCCATTGAAGGCTTGTCAACACAAAATATGTGCTTTAGGGAGCCCTTTGGTGCATATGTTCTCAATTTGACTAATCACGGGTATGTAAATCATGCATATCATTCCACTATCATTTTCTTCCATGGTGAAGTATTTATCCACTTCTACATGTTCTATTCAGTTATGTCAAACTGGATTACAGGCTATAGAGATTGCAACTTTGTTATCATAATAGACTTTGATTGGTGTTGGCATAGGAAACTTCAATTCTTATAGAAGCCTTTTAATGCATAATACTGCACAATAATTATGAGCAATAGACCATAATTCATCTTCAGCACCAGTTACAACCACACCTTATTTTTACTTCTCCAAATAATCAAAATTCCTCCTACAGATGTGTAATATCTAGAGGTATACCTTCTATCATTGATATCACTTGCCCAATTTGCATCTACATAGGTTTTCACGCAGAAATGAACTCAATTTTTAGACAACAATCCTTTTCCCCAGGCTCCCCTTGACGCTTCTCAAAGTTCAGAAAGCGGCTTCTTAGTGAGCAGACCAATTGTAGCTGCTGCTTTAAACTTCATATTTAGTTTAGTGAGAGTTCCTGCAAGCTTACAACTAATCATCCCCATTTCTTTGAGCAAATTGATAAGGTAATTTCATTGATTGACAAAAATTCCCTCCCTGGATATGGTAAACTCCATCCCAATAAAATATTTCAATTTCCCTAGGTCATTATTATCAAATTTGACTTCAAGCCTTTTCTTTATGTTACTGATTTCACGGTGATCATCTCCAGTTATGATAATATCATCGACATAAATAATTAGGACAACTATTTTACCTTCAATGGAGTGTTTAAAGAACAAAGTGTGATTAGCTTCACTTAATGAAAAAATGTCTTCTAACAACTTCTCCAAACTATTCAAGCTAGGCCCTCGAAGACTGTTTTAGCTCATACGTTCTTAGTTTGCACACTTCCTCCCTTCTAAGGCATTCTTCAAATCCAGGTGGTAGGTCCATATGCACTTTTTCTTGCAAATTTACATCATGAAATGCCTTCATATCATCAAACTGATTAAGTGGAAAGTTGGAATTAACTGCAAGGGAAAGAAGTTGATGCAAGCAAGGCATGTCTATTTGGGCATTTAATTGTGGGCTGAAATTAGCTAAATGGTTTGGCCTATGTTCCTTTGGATGTTTGGTGTTTGGAGCCTTGTGGCTGATTGGAGAAGTCTTTTTGAGCCTTTGCCTGCTTGGATCGTGCTCCCCGGCTATCCCGGTTCCCTTGCTTTGAGCTGTTCGGATCCCTGCCTGCTGGGCTGTCGGTTCCCTTGCTTTGGGCTGTTCGGTTCCTCTGCCTAGGTCCCTCGATTCTTGTTTCTGTCCCGATTCCTGGTTGTGGTTGTTCGATTTCTGGGAGCCTTAAATGTTACCTTTTTTCTCTGCCTTTTTTGGTTGGTTGTTTGGACGGCTCTTTGGGTGTCCTTTAGGCTGCTTCTTTCCTATTTATAGGGTTGTTTGTGGCTGTTTTAGGAGTTTTTTGTATGAGAAAATATTTGGAATATAAACCAGCGAGTTTTCACTAGCTTGTGAGCTGGCTTCTATCCTCTTCTCCTCTCTATAACTTCATCTCGGGCTTCTTATCTATTTCTTCTCTCCGCAAGTTTCCACCCCATTTATATCTTTCTTCTCTTTAAAAACTTATATGGTAGTTGTGTTGTTGTTACAAGCTTATAGTGTCAAATTTAGTGTGTTTTGTCATCTTTAAAGGATTTTGAAAGGACGACAAGTCTCTTAATATGCAATCTTAGTTCCTATAAATTTTGGTTGCATCAGAAGTATTCTAAGTTCATTAATTTTTGCCACGAGCAAATGTCACTTGTTAACCTACACAATTCGCTTTGTATCTCTCCACAATGCAATCAACTTTATATTTTATCATAAATATCCATTTGCATCAAACTATTTCATGTCCTTCGGAAGATCAACAATACTTCATGTGTTAATCTCTTTAGAGCATTTATTTCTTCTATCATTGCTGTAATAACCGGTTTGGCTTGGCCGGTTCAACCGAACCGGCCAGCCTTCTATTATTAGCCGCGACCCAACAGAGGGTCGCTACAGATCATTCGCGCGAAACAGAGAGGGCGGCGACGGCTTCGTGCGTAAGAACAAGGTAGGTTTTTCTTTTCTCCGATTTTAGCAAGTGATTATCTTCAAGGGTAAGAAATAGTAATTCCTTTTCATTCTTATAGTTATCGGAGTGTTATTTTGGGAGAGATTGAAGAACGAGAGAAACGGTCGAGAGAAAGAAGGAGAAAGGTTTGTAGAATTTTCTTCCAGATTTTTTTTGTATAAATTTCTTTCATTTACTTCGTTTAAAGTGAACAATATATTTCTTAAAGGTAGAGGAAGAGAATTGAAGCAAGAGAGAGAATTTTTGGAAGAGGAAGAAGGATTTTTGGGAGATTTGGAAAATCCCATTGTAAGAAATTTCTATCATGAAACTATTCTTGAGTTTTATTTGATAAAGCAAATTCATGAAAACTTTATTTCTTGATGATAGAGATTTGGAGAGAGGTTCGAGGTATCACCCTTCGTCGAAGGCCTGAAAAGTTCAAAGTGGGTAATTATGATTATGAAATTCAAAATTTAGCATTTTCTTTTAGTACGATAAAATAGTCTGCATTACAGTATTACTTTCAAAGTTTTATCTTAAAGACTACTACATATGAAGAGTTGAAAGATTAAATACCTAATGATTGTAAGTATTATTCTAATAAGAAACAAATGAATTGAATAATGAAAAGAAAATATCGTATGTATTAAAGAGATATTGAAAAGAAACGACATATGAAATAGAATAGAAATGTTATGGTAAATGTAAAAGAAAGGAAAAAGGATATATATGAATATTTCAGGAGTTCACCCCCTTATGGTACTGGCTGGGGACGCCGTACTCGTGCACGAAAAAGGAAAAGGAAAAGGTTATGGAAAAGGAAAAGGCTATGGAAATGGAAAAGGTAATCAAATGGAAAAGGTTGTACCTTAGGGTTAATGAATTTTATCGTCCGACTTTTCGTACCCGCCTCGTTAGATCGAGTATCCGGGCCGGGTCGTGACAATTGCTAATTTCCAATTTGAATAACATAATGCTTCTTAAACAGCACTTGTCACAAATAAATTAAAAATTTTAGGCATAAATGCTCTATGAGATTTTGACCATTTTCGAAAGGAGAGAAATTCTTCCATGGAGTATTTGTTACATGCTCAGGTTTCTTTTTTCAATGACTATGAAGATCAAGATCAGAGTATGATATATCACAAGATAAAGCAGGCTTGGAAGAAGTCTAATTTTGAGATAACAAACAATCACTCGACAAATCGGATTGAATATCTGCTTGAGAAATCACTGGAAAAATAATATCAATGGAGGATTACCTCTTAGCATAAACCTATAGTTCTGGAAGAGGATAATAATCTATTGGCAGTACTTCTCCCCCTATCTTTGATAAAGTAAAGGCTAGCAAAAAATATTAATAGAACTACCACTATTTTCCATATATTTATTTATGACAATAATTGTTTGTCAGAATTGATTAAGCTAATTGATATAGTTTACCAAAAATTATCTTCCTAAAAAGAATATTTTAAAAGAAAAAGGTTGGTCCTCAATAAAACTAACATTCATACTTTCAAAAATATTTTTTAGTGATAGGGTTAAAATATCTATACTCTCTTTTAAGGAAAACACAATTCTCAGTTCCGCATCAAATATACACATGAAACATGTGACGTACATACAAAACAAACATAGCCAAAAAAATTTGAGAAAAGGTCAGCAGTAATTCAAGATGTAGGAAAGCAATTTTAAATAACTGGACAGATGTTTCAAATTTCAAAATATGGGATGGCATGCTATTAATTAAGTAACAAGCAATCAAAAGATGATTACCGTAGAGATATTTTGGAGCATTCACGGAAACATAATAGCACAAGCAACTTCAAGAAAATGTCTACTTTTTCTTTCTGCTTTGCTACTTTATTGAGGTGTATCATAGCAAGTGGATTGATGAATGAGACCTTTTTCCAATAGGAGTGTTCCATAATATTAATTACAATATTAAGTTTCATTTTTAGTCTCCTTAGAATGCCATTTTTTGCTTGAAATTGATTTTCAATCATGATAAAAAAAAATCTTTAAATCTTTGTTCACATTTAGATTTCTTTTCTAACAAATATATCCAACATATTCTTGTGAAATCATCAATAAAAGTCACAAACTATTTTTTTCCAAAAATTATTTCAACGTTCAATAGATCCCACAAGTTACTATAAATCAAATAGAATGATTTTGAAGGAAAATACATCTTTAATGGAAAAGATACTTGATGATTTTTAGCTGAATGTAGAACTTCACAATAAATATTTAAACAATTAATTCCTTTAAACAATTCCCAAAATAATTGTTTAAGTTGAGAAAAATTAAGTTGTCATAATTGTGCTTGATCATTAAGAAAGTATAAACTAATTCTAACTCATATGATTTTTTATTCCAGGAGGTTGTTCTATCAAAATGATATAATCTATATATGTCTCTAACAATTTCGATCATCTTCTCCAAGGTCCAATTCTAAAAACCACAAACAGAAAAAGGGAAAAATAAAGCAGTTAGAATCTTTTGATATCTTGCAAATAGAAAGAAGATTACAAGTTTTGGCACATAACAACAACAACAACAAGCCTTTATCCCACTACGTGGAGTCAGCTACATGTATCTTTCTTTCCATTGTAACCTATTAAGAGTCTAATTCTCACTTAAAACTAATAAGAAATGTCATTTATAATACTTCATAACCAAATCTTTTTATGTTTATCTCTACCTTTCTTAACATAAATCAGATCTAATACATATACTCTTCTAACCAGGTCCTTGGAAGGCTGATGTTTCCCACAGTGAAGAAGCTATCTAAGGTGACTCTCTCTAATCTTGTCAACCACTGGAGCTACTCCAACCTTTTCACATATATATTAATTTTGCATTCTATCTCAAAGAGTAAAGCCACTCATCCACCTAAGCATCCTCATTTTTGCAACACTTAATTTTATGCTTCTCTTTTAATGGTCAACATTCTGTATCGTAAAGCATTGTAGGTCACACCACCATTTTGTTGATTTTTCCCTTAAGTTTGAGGGATACTTTTCTATCACACAACAGACCCGATGCATTCCTGCATCTCAACCATCCAACCTGAATTCTACTAATAATATCCCCATTTATTTCACAAACACTTTGAACAATAGACCCGAGATATCTAAAACATATACTATTTTTAATAATTTGATCACCCAAAATCACAATTCTCCCACTAGGTCTATTACTACTAAAATCATACTCCATATATTCAGTTGTAGATCTACTCAAACGAAAACCTTTAGACTCTAAGGTTGGCCTCCATAACTCAAGTTTTCCTTCAACTCCCTCTCTAGTCTTATCAACAAGAAAATTATCATCAATAAAAAGCATACACCAGGATAAATCCTCTCGTAAATGTCAAGTAAGAACATTCATAACTAACGCAAAAAGATATGGCCTTAAAGCTGATACATGATGTAATCCAACTGAAATATAAAAATACTTTGTCAAACCACTTTGTGTTTGAACACAATAGCTCCTACATATATATCCTTAATGACTTGAATATAAGCATTATTAACCTATTTCTTTTCGAAACTCTCCAGAGCACTTCACTTGGAACTTTATCTTATGCTTTCTCTAAATCAATAAATATCATATGTAGATCCCCCTTATTCTCTATATACTTCTCCATCAAACATCACAATAAATGTATAGCTTTCACAATAGACCTAGCTGGAATGAATTCAAACTGATTTTGAGAAATATTAGTAACACGTCGTAACATATGCACAATTACTCTCTCCCATAGTTTTAATGTATGACACATTAACTTAATTAAAACTATGGCAGAGAGTTTTGGCACATGCAAAACCTTTTTTGTTTTTTAGAAATTTTAATGTGTCCTTTGCAAGGAATCGCTGAAAAACTTCCTTTAGCAATTCTAATTTTCTCAAAGTTAAAACATCCATAATAGAAATTGAAGTGATGGAAACATAGTCATATGCCCAAAAGCACTTATTCCTTATTATATTATGCAAATAGTATAATAAATATAAAGCTACCGGTAAAATAGTTGCATCATCTTCTGCCTTGATATTATCTCTCTTGCTTACTTTTGGATCCGATGACCCAGTTAGGAAAGTTGAGGTATTAGATTTGACTTATGTTAAGAAAGGTAGAGCTAGACCTAAAAAGACTTGGTTAGAAAATATTAGAAATTATCTTTCTTTATTAGATTTAAATGAGAATTTGACTTTTAACCGAACACAATGGCGAAAAAGGATTCATGTAGCCAACCCTATGTAGTGGGACAAAGGCTTGATGTTGTTGTTGCTTACTTTTGGATCTTTAATTTTCATGAAAAAAAAAACTTCTAACATTAGAGAACTACTTTAATTTTCAGTTTTCTAAGAAACCTATTGTTCTGAATATGGCTACCGTTGAACGTCAGGTTTCTAGATTTGTTTTATTTCTATGTCCTTTTCATTCTTGAATACAGCCTTTTCTTGTATTTTATCTTTTTATTTTAATGCGAAGGGGGTGATTGATGGGGACATCAGATCATGGAAGCTTTATCAGAAGCGTGGTCGTCGATCTACGGCCACGATTAAGTCATTGTACTTTTGATTTATTTTATGTATTTTCTTATTTATGATGTCATTGTATTTGTCTTATTTAATTTTCCGTTGTACCCTTTTATTAAGAGATGTCGTATGTAAGCCTTGAGGGCATTGTTGTCTTTTCTTTTTTGAGTCTTATGTACAAGACTATTTATAGCCCCTTGTTTCTCTTTCAAAGGTAATGAATGAATGAATGATTAAGTGAATCTCTTTTTTGACTTCTCATGAGGGCTTGAGAGTTCGGAGTGAAATCCCTAGGAGAGGGAGATTTGTGCAATACCCAGCAACATGATAGGTGGAATAGGCTGACTCAAGGCAACAAACTAGTTAAGGAGTACATCACCTCTTTCGATGATTTCCTGATTCGCTGCAAGGGGAGACCTCTAACACCCCCGCGCATATCTTATCTATGTTTCAAACCAGGTTACCAGAGGATCTTCGCAATGAACTGTTTGCCCGGAACGTCACTACACTGGAGAATGCCTACAGCCTAGTGCTTGATTTAAAGGAGACCCGTTCACAGCACCCGAGCCGTTCACATGACTCTAGGCCCTCCTACAGACCAGCTCGTAGTTCCACTCCACACACCTCTGCTACCCGACCCACTTCTGGGAGCATGACCCGACCACCCACGGGTCCTGCACCTCGATCTGATTTTAGAAATAAAACTCCCACCCCGGAGACCCCTCGGTCCAGTCCCGGGACCAACTGCTTTCGATGCCAGGGGTATGGGCATATCGCCTCTCAATGCTCCAGTCCCTATAAAGTCTCGATCATCGAGGAGATTACTGAGGACGATCTCGAGCCCGAGGTTGATCAGATCCATTAGGTCGAGGATGAAGGCGAATACTTCAAGGAGGATGACAACACTACGGTCCTCCATTGCCTTCAGAAATTGGATACCTCTCCCATCTACATGGTGAGATGTGTGCTGTCCCACCCGACACACACGGACGATTGGCATAGGACCTCGATTTTCCACACCTACACCAAAATCAAAGACAGGAACTGTAAGGTCATCGTGGATAGTAGTAGTTGCATAAATGTTGTTTCTTCCAGCATGGTATCCAAGTTAGGCCTCTCTGCCGTTCCTCACCCCAACCCGTATAAGGTAGCGTGGGTCAACTCCACTGCCTTGGAGGTGAAGGAACGAAGCTTCGCACCTATCTCTTTTGTTGATTACAAGGAGAACGTTTGGTGCGATGTACTGATCATGAATGTTGGACAAATTCTTTTGGGTCGCCCCTGGTTCTATGATAACGATGTCCACATTTTTGGGCGTTCGAACACCTGCGTGTTCGAACATGCGGGCAAAAAAATTAAGCTTTTGCCATCGCAGCCTCGGGTTACTGATGACTCGAAATCCAGCCCCATTAAGTCCAAGAAAGGACTGAATCTTGTTACCGTCAAGGTTCTGGACGCTGAGGTGGCTCAAGGTGCACCCCTTTACACCATAGTGGGTCGTGAGATTCCCGCCGAATCTGATGAACCTATCCCTCAGGAAATCCAGCCTATTTTGGGAAAGTATGCTAATGTCTTTCTAGATGATCTTCCAGATCAGTTACCTCCACTTAGAGACATTCAGCATGCCATAGACTTCGTCTCTGGAGCCTCCCTCCCGAACCTGCCACATTATCGCATGAACCCCACAGAACATGCCAAGCTTAAAAAGCAGGTTGATGAGTTACTGCAGCGAGGTTTCATTAAGAAGAGTCTTAGTCCATGTGCGGTGTCGGCCCTTCTTACTCCAAAGAAGGACGGATCTTGGAGGATGTGTGTTGATAGCCGTGCTATTAATAAGATCACCATCAAATATCGTTTCCCTATTCCGAGGCTGGACGATATGCTCGATATGATGACGGGTGCCACATTATTCTCCAAAATTGATCTCAAAAGTGGGTACCATCAGATCAGGATCCGACCTGGAGACGAGTGAAAAACTGCCTTCAAGACCAAGGATGATCTCTACGAGTGGTCAGTCATGCCTTTTGGGTTAAGTAACGCCCCGAGTACCTTCATGAGAATCATCACTCAAGTGCTGCGCCTGTTTATGGGAAAGTTTGTCGTCGTCTACTTTGACGATATTCTTATTTACAGTCAGTCGATTAGTCATCACTTGGACCACCTAAGGCAAGTTTGTGAGGTCTTAAGGAAGGAACAACTTTATGCCAATCCTAAAAAATATACCTTCCCTGTAGATCGCGTCATCTTTTTTGGGCTTCATCGTTTCAGCCCAAAGGGTTTCCGCAGACCCCGAGAAGGTGAGGGCCATTGTGGAATGGCATGTCCCTCAGAACATCTGGGAAGTCCGCAGCTTCAACGGATTACCCACCTTCTATAGGAGATTCATTCAAAATTTTAACACTATCGTATCTCCTATCACTGATTGCTTGAAGAAGGCTGATTTCCACTGGACCCCAGCAGCCACCAGAGCTTTTGATGAGATCAAACAAAAGATGGCGGAAGCCCCAACGATGAGACTTCTTGATTTTTCCAAAAAAAATCTTCGAAGTAACCTACGACGCTTCGGGAGGTTGGAATTGGAGGAGTCCTCTCCAAGGAAGGTCACCCAGTAGCTTATTTAAGTGAAAAACTTAATGATATTCGGCAGCGTTATTCTACGTATGACAAAGAGTTTTACGTTGTGATCCAATCTCTTCGTTATTGGCGACACTACTTGCTCCCTCAAGAGTTTGTCATTTTCTTGGATCACGAAGCTCTGCATTATATCAACTCCCAAAAGAAATTAGATGCACGCCATGGTCGATGGGTCGAGTTCCTTCAGGAGTACACGTATACCCTTAGACATAAGGCGGGAGTTGAAAATAAAATTGTCGATGCTCTCAGTCGGCGTATGATGATTACTACTGAGATGAGAGCAGAAGTCGTGGGTTTTGACCAAATAAAGATGGACTATTTGGAATGCCCCGACTTCAAGGAGACCTACTCTCACTTGTCCATAGGCAGCACACGCCTTGTGGACGATTTCCTATTGAATTGGATATCTTTTCAAATCCCAGAGGCTTTGTATCCCGAGCAGCTCCCTTAGGAAATTTCTTGTCTGGGAACCCCATGCCGGAGGCCTCGCTGGGCACTTCGGTCGGGACAAAACTATCGAAGCCGTGGAGTATCATTTCTTCTGGCACAGCCTGAAGAGATATGTCGGTCGGATGGTCAGTCGGTGTCACACCTGCCAACTGGCCAAGCAAAATAAGCAAAACACGGGTCTTTACACTCCTCTGCATGTCCCTAGTTGTCCTTGGAAGGATGTTAACATGGACTTTATCTTAGGCCTGCCCAAAACACTCCGTAGGAATGATGTCATTTGTGTTGTAGTTGATCGGTTCTCCAAAATGGCTCATTTTCTTTCTTGCTCCAAAACATTTGACGCCTCTCATATTGCGAAGTTATATTTCAATGATTCGTCCGTTTGCATGGTTTGCCCAAAACCATTGTATCGGATCGGGATGTGAAATTCACTAACTATTTTTGGAAAATCCTGTGGATGAAAATGGGCACTAAATTGCAATTTTCCACTGCCTTCACCAACAGACGAATGGTCAGACCGAGGTAATTAATAAGAGTTTGGGTAATCTATTGCGATCTTTGGTTGGCGAGCACATTAAGGACTGAGATTCTATTTTTCCTACTGCTGAGTTTGCTTATAATAATTCTATTAACCGAACCAATGGCCTAAGTCCTTATGAAATTGTATACGGGTTCAAAACTAGACAGTCATTAGACCTTATACCCATTTGTTCTTGATGTAGAACGAACATGCGAAGGAGCTTCTTAAGAGAATTAAAAGTGAATGACAACGTAATTTCAATTAATATCTTATTGAGATAGCAAGAAAATCATTACAGAAATCGTGTTATTAACTAGCTTAGGCGAAGAAGTATGCGTAGATTGACCAGAACTCATGGATAAACAACGATAGTAGCAACACCAAAAGCTATTAAACAACAATCCGTAATTTAATAACGCGAAGTTCACCTTGGAGATTAACCACTCAACTAAACTAGGCTTAGCGGGAGAAGATTTTCAGCACACCAAACGATGCCACGAGGAAGGTCGCAATGCCAAGGGTCTTGAGCCACGGAGAGGTTGCCGGTACAAGTTC